AGAGATTGCATAGATAAGAGGAGAGAGATCGAAAACAAAGAGAGAAAGATAGAATAAGTTAGATAAGATTGTATGACAGACAGACGCTAGAATCCTCGCACCAAGTTTAATCTAAAAATTCTCATTGTATTATTGTTTATTTATTTTACATTATTTTATTCATCTCTTCCTTTTATCCAATCCCTTATCTCCCTCTCTATCATTTATCTTCACCATAACCTATACACTTGTATCACCCTTTCTTCATTCTCTCCATTACTTATCTCTTATTATCTTTCTTTCATCCCTATCCATTACTATCTTTCTTATCACCCTTTCTTCCATTCTCTCCATTACTATCTTTTTATCACCCTTTCTTCATTCTCTCCATTACTATCTTTCTTATCACCCTTTCCCTTGCATTCCTATCATTACTATACTTTCTTATCACCCTTTCTTCCATCTCTCTCCACACTATCTTTCTTATCACCCTTTCTTCCATTCTCTTATCACCCTTCTTCCATTCTCTCCTATTACTATCTTTCTCATTACCCTTCTTCTCTATCCTTTTCTTTCATCCTATCCCCTTATTCTTTTCTCTTATTCTTTCTTGTATTACGATTAATCTCATCTCTATACTGTATATTTTTTTATTATATTCTTATTCTATTATCCCCTCTTCATTCCTATCCAGCTTATCTTACTTCCTTTATCTTCCTGAACGAAATCCATCCTAACTTAATCATCTTATTATATCTTATTTCTATATCCTTCTTCATCCATATCCCCTTTAATCTTATCTCCTTATCTCTCTGATCGAAAATCCATCCCTAACTTATATCCTTATTTATATCTTATTTCGATATCCCTTCTTTCATCCATATCCCTTATCCTTTCTCCTTATTCTCCTGAAAACGAAATCATCCTAAATTGTATATACTATATTCATATCTTTTTCTATATCCCTTCTTTTCATCCTATCCCTTATCTTCAATTCTCCTTATCTCACTAACACCGACAATCCATTCCTAACTTATATCTATATTATATTTATTTCTATTCCCTCTTCATCTTATCCGCTTATCTTATCCTTCCTTATCTTCCCCTGAACGAAATCCATTCCTTAACTTATATCTTATTATTCTTATTTCTATGTATCCCTTCTTTCATCCTATCCTTTATCTTATCTCCTCATATCATCCTGAAACGAAAATCATCCTTAACTTATCACTCTATCTATATCTTATTTCTATATCTTCTTCATTTCCTATCCTTTATCTTATCTCTTATCTCCTGAAGAAATCCATCCAACTTATATCTTATTCATATCTTATTTCTATATTTCCCTTCTTTCATCCTATCCCTTATCTTATCTCCTTATCTCCAGAACGAAATCCATCCTAACTTATATCTTATCTATATCTTATTTCTAGTATCCCTTCTTTCAATCCTATCCTTTATTTTAATTCAGCTATCTCTCTGAACGAAATCCAATCCTAACTTATATCCTGTATCCTATATCTTATTTATATATCCCTTCTTGTCATCCTATCCTTTATCTATCCCTTATCTCCTGACCGCGTAAATCCATCCTTCTATTACTATACGCCTCACTCGGCCTGTAGCCCATCCTGATACGAAGACTAGTCAGCATCGATAGGTGACTGCGAGTACCTGTGCCACTGGAATCTGGAAATAGGGTGAAGATTTAGTTAGTTACGGATGGTGAGGTGGGTGTGTGATGTGGTTTGGGTGAGTGTTGTTGGGGGTAGGTTGTGGGGTAAGTGTTAGAGTGTGAGGAGGTGAGGGGTCGTGTGCTCGGAGGGGTCGTGAGGAGTGTGGGATGGTTGATTGTGGGTTTGCGGTAGTGGTTGAGTGGGGATGTGGTTGTGGTGATGTGGGTGTGAGTGGTGAGGGCGCTGTGAGGTGTGGTGAGGGGTCGGTGAGGTGTGGAGGGGGTCGATGTGATGCGTGGATGTGAGGGAGTTTTTGGTGGATGGTGTGGATGTGAGGGTCGTAGGTGATGAAGGCCGACGCTGAGGCGATAGAGGGTCCGTATCCTATGGTCCCGACTGAATGGTGGTGAAATGAGAAAGGCATATGGATGTTGACTGCGGCGGGGACGGAGTACATACCCCACCCCTCTCATCGCGAAACATAATAATAAAAGAATATAATAAAACTACAAGATGGAAGGGATAATTATGATGAGGAGGATAATGATTATTGTAGCAATAGCAGTGTGGGAGGGCTACATTGACTATAATGGCAATAGTAGTACTAGTAGTGTGTTAAGTGTCATAGAAGTATGTGGTAGAAGTGTAATATAACTATATGATATCTGCCAACATGACAACAAAAAAAAAAAAAAATTGAAAAAACGATTAAAAAAAAAGACCATACATGAAAACGATTTGAAATGAAAATTTATAATAATAATTACTCTAATAATTGATAACGATAAAAGTTGATAATTGGCAAGGACCTTTTCAGCAAAAACAGCCAATGAAAACGTAAAGAT